TTTCCTTCTAGTCTTATGAAACATACTGAACAAGTCTCATGCATTCCTCTGGTCTCATAAAATTCAAAAGCTTTTCCAATTCATCAACGTGTGCTAAAACTTTTATGATTTTTCTTTCCATAATGATGGTTCTTATAAAAAAAAATTATGATGAAAGATCTCTCAATAATTAAGTATGTCAATCCTTATGAAGTCACTCATGATGATGTGTCTTCTTAATGATGACTTGGATCTTGAAGATAATTATGAGTAAATTTACTATTTTGTCTAAAGTTAATTCAAATATATTATAAGATGTTAAGCTATGGGATGCATCTGATCGTGTCTAAACCAGAGTACGCCATTCAACAAGATTTTGCTCTACTTATCATTATGCAAGAAAAAATGTTATTTTTTAAAATTACAAATTGCTTCAATTACATCCACTAGAGATTGTGTTCACTGGATAAATCTAATGATAAAAGTGAGAAGATATTGAGTTTGTCATCATTACCACCATCATTTACTAGTCCATCATTGATCCACATTGCAAAGATCTCATATTTGTATGCATTTTAGAGCCAAACATCAGCAAAGCTTCCCCATATCTGTGTATGATTTGGACTTTTTCCTCCTAGTGTTGTCTTACTACATGGGCACTTATTACATCCGACCACCTAATAATGCCTCTTCAACCAAGCTCTCCTAAAAACTCTTCAACAGATGTATTTTCCATTTTTTGTTAGTCGGGTGAATTGATCCAACACAATTCAGCTAAATTAGCCCCCAAAAAAAAATAATGATATGTAGGCAAACAAAAAGATCAAGCTATACCACAAAGGAGCTAAAATTGACATACTTTCAAGCCTACGAAGTCAACCTGTATCTTTGAATGAGTTTCTCTTTTTAATCAGATTAATTTTACTAGATTTATTTATCTTCTTCAGATGATCATAGTTTTGAATTTAAATGTTTCAACAATGTTGGACTAAATTTCAAATAAAATTTAATTTACTTTTAAATAATTAGTTTTACCATTATAAATCTATTTCTATAAATAGGGACACATCTTGTAATTGATGACTGAATTTCTATAAATAGGGACACAGTCTGTAATTGATGACCGAATTATTGGTAAATGAAAATTATTTTTGAGGCTAATTGAGTGTTCTCTCTTTTGACTCAAATTTTGTAGGTAAAATTTTCATTTCCAATATATTAAATTATAAAGCGAAAGGAACAAATAAGAGGTTAATTTCTGACATAGCATAACAATCTAATAAGAATTTATCCCTCAGATTAAAATTTCAGCCAACAACAACTATTTATATCGAACTAATAAAAAGAGAAAAATATGCTAGGTTAATCCAAAATGACCTGAATGCTATCTAGAAAGAGAAACAAGATTGTGATCTAACCAATATATTAATAAAGAAAATCAACTTAATAGGATATCAAATTTAACCATGGAAGTAACCAAGAACTTAATTATGAATATACATTCTGAACCATTATGACAATACAACTATAAACATTACTACGATCAGCTCCCAATGCATCTATCAATTTACAGCATCACTGAGTGGTGTAACACAAAAAAAAAAAAATTATTTATAAGAGCTTCTAATAATTTGGGTTATTTTAGGATTTATTTTGGTTTTATTTTTTTATTATTAAGATTTATTTTGAAATTATACTAAAGTTTTAAGAATTATTTAGATTTGAATTCAAAATAGTTTAGTTCTATCTTTTAATCATATTTTAATAAATGGGAGTTGATGTGATGTTATTTAGGTTGTCATTGAATGATGAAAGAAATTTGAAAGATCTCTCCTCACTATTCTCTCTTATTTCTCTCTCCGCCTCTTAAACAGTGCTCTCCCTTTTTTCTATCCTTAATCTCTCTCCCAACAGGAAATTCTCTCTCCATATGATCTCTCAAACAATTTTTTCAAGTAGTCAAAAGTCATATTTTCCTCCAACAATTACTCATCTCTCTCCTACTGACATGCATCTCGAGGATGCCTTTCTTTCTGGGCATAAGAACAAGAATCCAATTCATCTAATCACACAATCTTACATGCATGCTTCTCAAGCAAAGTTTCATCTTAGTTTCTCTCTTCGAGCGTGTTTCCTCAAGGTACAAATTAAGTTCAAAAGGCATTTCAAGAAGAGAGAGGGAGCAAAAGTGTTAGGATCACAATCTAGTGCCCATTATCAAATTGACATTATATCAATCCTCCTTCTACATCAATTGGTTGTAGAACTAAATTTTCTAATGATAAGAACATCTAAACTTTAGCTGCCATATCAATCCTTTACCCCTATCCATCCCCTGCCACCATGGTATCTATAAAGCCAAGAAAGAAAGTTGACATACCTAGAATGCATAGATTATGCCGAAGTGAAAAATTGAAAACATGAAAATTAACTTATAAAGCAAAATACTCCTCATTCAATTTGGAATATTGGTTACAAATTTATTGACGTCTCATCAGCTCATAAGCATTTAAGTACATAACAATATTAAAAGTATGGTTTATATTTAAGTAAAATATATGCTTTACATAATTATAAGCCTCAATCATTACTGCTTGTATTAAGTGGTAATAGAATTTCTTATTATGATTGATTGAAATATTGCCTAAAGGCAGTATATGAAACTTTTGATTAATCATTCAATTATCCCACATGAATCTCGTGATTACAGTTAGTCATATGACAAATGTGGCTATCAATAGTCTAAGAGATATTATAAATCAACTGCAAGGCATGTCAACGTTATGCCACTTAATTGATATTCTTATTCATATAACACTGAAGCGTCAAGAAGCAAATGGATGAAAACAATATAGAGTTTATAATCAATAAGCAACTGACTGTCGCATTCATTCTTTTTTCAAAATTATTTATCATGATGATAGCACATATTATTTTTGGTTCACATTTCATCGGTTGTTTATCAAATGGTTGAAATAATAAAGCCATTCAACTTGAGTCAACTCCTAAAGATAGAAGAGACTCCAAAACTAAAGAGCGAGAGTATGTTGAAGAAAGTGCATGATTTCTTTTAAATAAAATAAAAAAAAAGGAAACATACGTTGCTAAATTTTTTTTTTTATTGAAGTTCCAAGATAACCTAAGTTATTGTCAATCAAACATGCACCATGACCATACATTTGAAACGTTGGAACTAAACAGAAATGATAATTCAATCAAAAAATATGCTATATTTATTTAATTGTATCAAACGTGTATGAGCATATTAAACCAACTAATGGATTAGATATCTATCGTTTATCTTACTATACTTAACGGAAAAAAGGGTTGTGAAAAAATAAAATATCAAAAACTCCCATTTTTTTCCTATACATGTTCAAACTTGAAAATGAAGAGTTGGTAAGGTGCCATATAGACAAAAGAGTATTTACAAAAGGCAGTGCAAATATTATAGAGAAAGAAGTCATGCCAGAAAGCATGTTATGTCAGTCCTTCCATGGTTGATACAACAACAACAACAAAACTTTCATCCCACTAAGTGGGGTCAGCTACATGAATCCTTTTCTCCATTGCGTCCTATTTAGTGTCATATTATAATTTAATTCTAATAAGTTAAGATCATTTTTTATACAATATGCCCAAGTCATCCTAAGTCTACATCTGTCTTTCTTAACATAAGTCGAATCTAAAACATCTACTCTTCTAATCGAATCATCAAATGGTCGACGTTTAATGTGACCAAACCATCTAAGATGACTACCTCTAATTTTGTCCGTCACTGGAGCTACACCAACCCTATCACGGATATATTCATTTCGCATTTTGTCTCTAAGTGTAAAGCCACTCATCCACCTAATCATCCTCGTCTCGGCAACACTTAACTTAGTTTTATGTTTCTATTTTAAAGGCCAACATTCAGCACCATTGAGCATTGCAGGTCTCAACGCCATCTTATAAAATTTTCCTTTCAGTCTAAGCGGTACTTTTCTGTCACACAGTAAGCCCAAAGCATTACTCCACTTCAACCAACCAACTTGAATTCTACTAACAACATCCCCATCAAATCACCATCACTTTGAACAATAGACACGAGATATCTAAAGCGTTCACACCTTTTAATAATTTGATCATCTATAATTACATTTCCAACACTAGAGCTACTACTACTAAAATTACATTCCATGTATCCAGTTTTAGTTCTCCTCAAACGAAGGCCTTTAGACTCCAAGGTAGACTTCCATAATTCAGTTTTAGTTCTACTCCATGGTTGGCAATGGAAAGTAAGAAAATAAAATTAAGGAAATTCAACCACTGGACAGTGATGTGTGGCCTCCATTCATCAGTGAACTACAAGAGTATGAAAATTGTAATTACTACTTGAAAAGGGCTATTGGCAAAAACAATCAAAGTAAAAGCTCATGTTCAGACCGATAATTAAAATTTTACAATAATATTCATTTGATCATTGTTTAAGCATCCACATCTAACCTTTACACATCTCTTTATTGCATTACGGTAACCGATCATTAAAAAAATAAACAAATAAATACTTCAATACTAAATGTTGCATATCAAACCAAAAGTATAAACATCAAATATTTACATTTATGCACATATGTCCGAAAAATTTGCTATTTACTGAATTAATACCGAGGTTTTCAAAATGAACCCTAAACCTATATATTTGTCTGTGCTATGATCAAACCAATGAAAATCTAATGAAAGCAATAAAAACAAATACACAAATAAAGAGAGGGAGATAATCACAAGACTAATCAGCTATATAACCATTTAAGCATGTTGACATTATCACAAGATTATTGAGCTAAATTTATTTACGAAATGTAGATATGTTATTGATATCAAAAAGGCTTTAGTGAATCATTAGTCAGTTATCTCCAAGTAACTTGATAATTTCATAGGTGAAATGGTAACTATTAAAGTAAAGGCCTAGTTAAGCAAAAGTCAGGCAAAATATCACAGGTTATTCCCAAAGTAAAATGAGTTGTAAGTGCAAGTACCTGTGCAAGAAACTCTTGTTCAACTTCTTTCCCTGCTGCAGCTTCCTGCTCTGCTGCCAGTTTCCATCTAGCAATTTCTTCCTCGGCAGCTGCAATGTCTGTCATGAGACCTTCAACCTATATCATAAAGGGAAATATTAAGTTAGCAACTCCTAATAATCTTTCCTATAAAATATATGACCATTACAACTTTAGATTAAATGATGTTATTGGAAAATACCAATCAGATTGGATTAAAAAGAGAGTATAAAGCTATTATTACATTTTCATTTGCCATATGCTCCTTCTCCTTAAGTTCCTTTATTTGTAACATTTGCTGGCTAATCTCTTTTGCTTGAGCATCTAAGTGTGCTTTAAGAAGACTAGACTCTGCCCTTAATCCAGCAAAGGTCACGCAAAATAAAAAATATAATTAGCAAAGCTGCAGAACTTATTTCAAACTATCAAAGTTATAAGCTTGCAAGTTGAAACATATAAACTGGTAAATGGAAAATATTTCTTCCTCATTGATAGTAACGTTAAAGTAGACTTTCAAATAAGCTTAAATATAATTTTTAAAAAAAAACATCAGTTCAATAAAGGAAAGCAGAGAGTCTCCAGCACAAAAATGTGAAAAGGCATAGAATATTAACTCTTTTTACAAATAAAAAAGGAAAGTAACGCAAAAACATTACAAATCACTATAGGTGGCATCAGGAAAGTACCTTTTCAAGCATCCAAAGTACAAAAAAAGAAAACTGCTATTAGACTAGCATAATCCATTCTAAAAAGAATTAAAATTCCAAAAAAAAGCAAACTAGGTGTTATTTTTCATCCCTTTAAATTTTAGTGCTAACGATCCCTAAGGTCCTAAACAAAAAAATTCAAATTACCTAATCGGCCAAACTAATGGATGAGGTAATGGGCACATGTAGGTCTCTCAAGACTTCCATAAACAAAATGAAGAGTTAGTCAAAATCAGAAAAGTTGAATTTTTTTATAAGCTAGACTGCAGAAAAGCATTTACATAATTTTTATTGATAAATTAGATAAAGCAATCAAAAAAATTATGATCACAAAAGAAACTTTAACCATGGGTTAATCATTAATTATTGAAATTTTAAAAAAAAAAGATCAGATATTAATCTTTGAAAAAATAGAATCATAATTCGGATGATAAGAATATGAAACAAGATTAGTGAGCATTAGGGACAGAAAGTTTCAACAAGGTTGTAAAATCTCATTTTGTGCACTTAATCAGAGTTGTTCGCATGTCAAAGAAACCTTCAATTTGGGGTTGGCTAGTCTAATAACACTAGTTGACAAGATTTAAAGTAGGCTTTAGAACTTAGAAGAGGCCATCACAATGAAAAAATCAACCCAATCGAATCAGTTATGACCTACCAAGCAATCCCATGGTTCCTCGACCAACTCTTCACCAAGTTAATCAAATCATCTATAAGCTACCGACCAAAATAATGGATCATTTCAGTATAGTGGCTTGCCCACAACTATCATTGCCCATCCAATCACTTTAAATATTTCATTGGCCACTTTCAGGGTAATGAAACTGCAATGTCAAAGCTATCCTATGTCGCCTCGCAATGGCTCATTTCCAAGTCTCCACATTTTGCTCAAGGATGAACTATCGATTAGTCATTTGGTCGTTTGATGTTTGTCAATTGGTAATTCATCCTCTTCAGACTCATTGTGTGAACAAAATTCTGTCACTTCCAGAGTTAGTTAGTCACAGACTCCAAATCATTCTTCACCTCAGCACCACCTGTGACAACACTCCAACTACAAATACCTCCTCCTTGACCTGTAGTAAACAAAAAATTTTAATTTTTGTTATAACTGAACTCATGTATCCTTGTAAATTAAGGAAACCAAAAGCTAGAGAACTTAAGACCTTGTATCTCCTTCCTTAAATATAGTGAAATCTTCTCTTTTCTCCTCCTATAGTGAACGTAGGCTTATAAAGCAAACCACCTAAATAACAATGTTTTATCTTCATTCTCCCATACTCTAACCTTCTTGAAAGCCAAATTTTTACTTCTGAAAGAGAGTAAACCAACTTGAGTCTCATCTTTCGTCTTCCTCCTCTTTAGTGAACCAGTAAGCTCTAGTATTATATGACCCATCACTATTCCTATGTAACAATCTGAACTCTCACCTATCAAAATAGTATCTACTTTGGCCTAATTGGCTCACGATTTTGTCCAATTGGTGTGACTTCTCAAGAGTTCACGTGTCTTAGGAGGGCACCCATAGAGGCATAACTTTGGAATTTTTGTCGAAACTCCAACTGTAACATTAAAATGTGCCTCAATGTGCAAGAGCTCGGCTTCATTCTACTTAAAGGATTTCACAATCTCCCCCACCTAAGTAATTGATGTCATCATCAATTTTCATAACTCAGAACCATCCACCAAATAGATATTCTTATCTTCAGACTGGTGTAATTCTTAGATACCATTTGTTAGCCCAAAAAACCATCGGGATATTGGTTGTTTTGGCCTAATGGCCTCACGATTTTATCCAATTAGTGTAACTTCTCAGAAGGTAGCCTATCTTAGGAGTGCTTTCATATTAGCATGTTACATGCTTAACTTTGGAGTTTCTATCGAAATTCCAATCGTTACACCCACAGGCGGCTCAATGTATAAGAGTTCAACTCATCCTACTTAAGGGGTTTCACATCCTAGGTCACTTTTGAACATCGACATTGTGTTTTAAGTAGATTAATGTTAAATTTGTATGAATGAATGGTTGTGATTCCAAAAAGATTCTGCCACGAAAATAATTTCCCATTTTTTTGTAGAATAAGTCTTTGAATCTATCTCTTATAACTTTTTTTAAACCCTAGCCATAAAAAATGTCAAGTAGGCACAATTCAACTTGATCAACTAAAGTACTAATTTTATAAGTTCAAAGAAAGTTCCAAATTATCTCAGAATTAAAAGAAAAAATAAATTTACAAGCACTAATGACTGATGAGATAAAGGTGTCTATTATAGGTTGTTGGTTATGGCATAAATGAGATATGAAATTGCCGAGCAATTTCACGAAAATTTAAAATTTTAGTGGAAATCAATAGTGCTCAACTTGCTGAAGACTGCAAGTTAATGCTAATAAAGCTCAATTAGAGAGTCTGCAAGAGAGCATTGCACATGCATCAAAACAAGCTGACAAAACTCCTCAACAAAATAAACAAGTACTTCCACTACTTTTAAAATGTAGTTTCTAACACATTCAACTTTCATTTTCTCTTTGTTTTGAATGTCTAATGTTCTTTAAAAAGGTTTTCGACTGGTGTAATTTTTAAGTTACTCAAAGATATTCAAACACATTAAAAATTAAATGTCAAACTTTAGACAAAGAGCATGATTTAGCCAAACATATAGAAATGTCAAGTTTATTGCAACTTTAGTCCCCTATGTTTAAGCATGTGTAATGTGTAAATATTTCAAAAATTCAAGCAAAAGGCAACTAGAAGATCTGTCGTTCGCATTGATATAGATTTAATGAGGCATTTAAATGGAAAAGAATATATGTTGCAAGGTTAGAGATTAAGGACATTTTATTAGGGTAAGAATTTTTTCTTAGGGGATGTATGCTATAAAGTATTAAGGGGGATTTACATACATACCACACAATTCTTATGCATTTACATATATAACACACAAATTATTAACACAAAAACATAGAACTTGATCAATATAAATGGATATCAAGCTATGTGCTAAATACCTGAGAGCTTCTACCAAATGGCTAAGTTCAACGATCTCAATTTGAGAAGTTTTGACAGTATTCTCCAAAGCACCAGCCTTCAAAAGAAGGCGGAAGCTTAAGTAAACAATTGAAAAGTACACAAAGACGGTGATGATAGAGCCTGAAAGTGCAAGGCAGGCAAATCAAGCAGAAATTTTATTTACCAGCGTATAGACTTCATCTTCAGCCTCATCATTAGCACCATCTTTATCATGTCCATTAAGCTTCAAATCTATTCCAGCCTCTCTGAGCCCCTCCTCTGCCACTTGTAACACCTTATTGGTTCTGGAGTAGAGTGCACTTCTAAGCAAAGTTCCAATATGCTGCTTCTCTCCAAACAAAGCAGCAACCTTTTCCTCCAGGTCTTTCACATCCCGATTTCTACTTTCTATCCTTGATTTTACTTTCTCAAAAGCAACGCTAGCTAACTCGCAAATGGAAACAGTGCCTTCCAAGGATGTCCGCAAATTCTCATCCATGTCCATTTCCTTCCACACGAAGGACGAATCCGATGAGTCAGATTGATCTAATGAGTTTTCATCAGCAATCCCAACTATCTTATTAATCTGTTCATAGGCTTTCGATATGTGTTTCAAGTGATCAATTATCACAGGCCTTTGAGCGTCTACCTTGGTCTCCAAGTTCCTAAACTTTGTCGAAAAGTCATCTCCAAACTGTTTCAGCTCGGCAATCTCCCTCTCCATCTCCGAAATCCTTGAATCTCTCTCCCCAACCATCTTACCTAATAACTCAATCTCGTTACCCTTCTTTGTCGCCTCCTCCCTTAGTCCGCTGATCGTGGCCTCCAACTGTGATATCTCAATTGCGATTTCGTAGTTCCTCTGTTCAATTTGCTCTCGCGCCTCATCCCTCGACTTGACCGCCGCTTCAATCTGCGCAGTAAGTTCTTCCGCGATCTCGTTCGCACGCTTGATGACGCCGTAGGCCACAGCCGGCAAGCCGGTGTACTTTTGTGAGCGTGGGAGTACGGCAACGGAGAAATTCTTGAAGCCGCTGACCTTGGACGATATCTTCTCGATGCCAGTGACCAACATCTGGGCGGCGGTCTCTATTTCCGCCCTAGAGGAGTCCTTAAGCCTGTAAGCCTCTTCCTTCTGCCGCAAGGCCTCCTCCTTCTGCTTGAATGCATCCTCCTGCTGCCGCAAGGCCTCGTCTTTTTGCCTGAGGGCTTCGGAGAGTTCGGCATTGGCACGTTCGGCGGATCGGGCATACTCATCTTTAGCGTCGTCGCGCTTCTTGATGACATCCTGGGCGAAGGCCTTCAGGCGGTTAACGGATGTCTGGAGTTCTACACGGGAATCCTCCGCGGCCTTGCGTGCGCGACGCTCCTGTTCGAGTTCTGCGAGAAGTTTTCGGAGGCGTTTGTCGGCGGCGGAGTCGTTCGAAGGGGCGGCGGCGTTGGAGGGGTCTTCGTCGTTATCGACGTCGCTGAGGACAGCGTCGTCTGGGAACTCGTCGGCCATATCGGAGGGATTCAATCAGTGAAAGCAATGAAACAAGCGAAGATCACCCCCCAACAAGGAGAATTTGGCTCTTGTGCTCGCGGTCCCGCCGTCTCGGAACAAGGGCATCAGGAGCACGCGCAGAACCGCAAAAAAAAATTTTCAATACATGAAAATCACTGACATTACGGGTTAAAA